CAACTCGTGATGGCGTCCGTAAAATTTACAAAGTGATGATTTCAACTTCACCATTTGGAACTCTTGGTTTAAAAATGAAAATCCACAATTGGGAAGCTGAAATCATCTCTTTTGTCGTAAAGTTTTTTTTTTCAAGCGACCCTCATAGTCAATTTCTAGATATAAGTCATAATCAAATGGCAAAATCAAAAGCTCAAACACATCAAACGAATGGATAACAACTGTCATATTCCTGACTCGGTACAGGCATTTTCTTATGTAGAAAATGGTGGATTGAACCTGGTTTTATAGCTAGCTAAACCTCTCACTTGTATGACAGTCGCATCAAATTCCATTATATTGACAACGATGCGTGAACAAAACAAACAGACACAATAGGTAAAAATGTCAAAAATAGGGGTACAGCAGTCAACCGATTGTGTTATCATCTTAATCACTATAAAAACAAACAAATGTAACGAAGAAGCACAAAAAGGCATACATCAAATTTAACATCCTCATTTTGCTTTTTTATTATACGATTTTATTTATCTCTGTAAAATCCACCCATAAAGGATGGAAGGTTTTAAATACTGGCGTAAAATCGCGCGTTTGAAATTCGCACAGGTAGACATAAAATAATTTTGTCGTTCAAAGTATGACGGGATACATAAGTAGAGAGTCACGTAAAATAGATATCACAAAAAAACAGATTTAACAGTAAAAGTAATATTAATAAATAAAATAATTTTGTCGTTCAAAGTATGACGGGATACATAAGTATAGAGTCACGTCAAATGGATATCTCAAAGAACAGACTTAACAGTAAAAGTAATATTAATAAAGACAAATAAAAGAATACTATAACACGTTATTAAGATGATAAACAACGTCAGTACGCAGAATCTATACTTCAAGACCATCGTGTATTATTTGTGAAGTTGATACGGAATATTTATCAACAAGGTCTTGGTACCTTCCGATGAACTTTTTTTAGAAAAAGGACGAGACGTTCTTTGACATACCCCTGGTTCATCAACTTTCTGCTCAGACACTGGTGACGTTTTACAAAGTCTGAGTAGGAGCTGCAAGCTCTTGAATACCGAATAAGTTGGTCATCCATCGTTACAAAAGTGGGATGTGTTTTGTGTGTATAGCTGAAGAATGTTTGTGTATTCAATTTTACGGTAAAAAATCAATGTTATCTTCATTATGTTTCCATGCATACACAAGTCATAACATCAAATGCATTTATAAAACTTTTAAGGTTAACAGACATGTTTAACTGTCTACTTTAGCAAAAATTCGTGCAAATAAACCTGATGGGTCGTTTTGAATTCAAGCACAGCAGACAAACACGTGGTCGATCATTGATGTTTGTTTACCTAAATTGAAAGTGTTTGTTACTAAATACTTAGAAATAACCACTATTGTGTTATTATCGTTTCACAGCAGATAGAATTAATTTTACAATTGCATTTTAATACTTTCAAGAGTTCAGTGGCGGATCCAGAACTTTTCATTAGGGGGGGCCCAGTCATGCTTCAGTGGTCCCCTATATAATCAACCAAATTTTTCCCACAAAAGCCCCCCCCCCCCTGGATCCGCATATATAATACACCTTGCCTAAGAAATAGGTCTAACTAGGTTCAGGGACTTCCTTTACTAGGTCCTTATTAAAAAAATGAGGTTGTAATGATGTAAATTACCACATTTACATTACAGCATTTTTTTGCATTTGATATTTTTCATATACATGTATGTACAAAGAGAACAAAAGAGTATATATGAACATACATGGGTTTAATTCGCACCCTAGGCATTAATTTTAATACTTATAGGTTGGAGTAAATAGGGCAGATTGCAATAGACCATAATGTGTCTAAAAATGCTGTTTGATGTGGCCAAGTCCTCAACATCCTTTTTTCTAAGTATACAGCAGCTCCTCTAAGGATTAGTAAGGGAACACTTTATATGTTGTCTTGTCTTTTGTGTCTCTCTTATTTCCTTATTTATATTATTATATTTCTTATATTCTCATGTACATAAGCTAAAAAGCTACAATTCCTCTTTTTCCTCATCTGCCTGAAAACAATGAAATGTATTCATTGTTGTCTTGATGTCTGTAAAATGACGTATAACTGCTAACAGACTAGAGTGCTAACAGACATGACACACACATTATTTGGACTCTGGTGGATAGTTTTTAGTCTGTTATCTCATTGGCAATCATACCACATCTCTTTATTTTAGTACAGGTTAAGTATATAAAGTACTAAGTGACTAACAAACATTAAATCATTTGAAAGAAAAATTCTGCAATGATTTCAGTTTACATATATCAACAATAAAATTGTGTCATTATGTTTATAAAGACCACTGTAATTGTGAACTGCCATGAGTGTCTTATGCAAAATTAATAAGTTCCCTAATGAATAGTATATAGATGTTAAAAAAAATGTATGTACTGATTCCAGACTAATATTTTGGGCTATTAATTCAAAAATAATTGATGTTTTTTAATTAATTGAATAACAACTTATTGCAATAATCATGATGATACAAACTAGCATTCTGATATGTGATACATATATAACTTTATACAGATATTTTTCTGAAATTGTAGTGTATGTCATAAAATAAGAGATTTTTGGTAAAATTTAGCAAAATTGTCATTATTTCAACCATATTCATGACATATAGGCCTAGGAAACTTCAATTTTTAAGCGCAGAGATTGAAAAGCTAAGTCATGACTGTAAATTCAGAAATTATCATAAGGTTTTTATTAAAGTAAATAATGCGATTAAATTGTTTATCGCAATAGAAAGAACTTGCATTCTGATTTGATACTATGAGATTTTTTCTGATATTAGAATAATAAATATCTCATTGTTGTCCATTCTTCAAAAAATTTCGCCCCACTATTAAAATTTATGTTTTTGATATGATTGTCTTGACCTCATTTTCATAGTTCAGTGACTACTAGAAGAATTATTTGCTATGTTGATTCTCTATTATAAGTAATAAGATAACGATTTTTGTATGTGTGCAACTAGTAAGGTCATAATGCCAGTCTAACAGTTCTCATTTGACCTCGTCAACATTTCATGGATAATTCACAAAGTTAAGTTTCCTAGTTCAAGTCCATATCTCAGATATGATAGCAAATTATATTATGTGTACTATATTGAAAGGTGAACATATCTGTCTGGCAGGTATTAAACACCTGTCATTTATCCATAATCCAACACAACTTGAGGTCATCCGATATTCAGTACTTCAGTACTTTGATACTTATTCATTTAACTCGAAATGTATTTCAGCGCTTATCATTGCTGCTAAAACAATTTTGATAAAATATTTCAAATTGTACATGTTTTGTGAAAAATATGCATACCATAGTAAGCTTTATTTACGATAGAATTTATGCTTTTTGTTAAAATATCCTTCTTATTCACTTTTTAGATAAGTACACACAATATATTGATGTCTTTCAAAAATGCAGTGTTAGAGCACAGCTAAAGGCATTTATTTATGTTTCGATCACATGTTCAGGAAATTATGAATGTGTTTGTATACATTAATGAAGCTGTGATGCCATGAATTGAGTAAATTACTTTGTTAAGATTGTCCAAATTTCAGGAGACTCCAAATCAGGGATGGGGGGATTGGCCAAACCACTCTTCAAAAAAATTGTTTTGCTTTGAAACTCTTGGAAAAAGAATGAGGAATTACCAATCGGGGGCATAAACAATTCATAAAGACAATGAGAACCAATGAGAGAGACCATGACATACCAAGAAAACACGACGAAATGACAAAAGACTACACAGAAAACCCATGATTGAGCAACGCCAACCCCTTCTTGTACCACGGGTGAACTCGTGTGCTTCGGAAGTGTCACTAGTTCCTGCTCCATATATAGTATTTGGGAAAACAAAAATTGAGCATTTTTTCCGTGATTTTTTTTATATATATATAGACCGCATGTGGAGAACTAGTTTTCAGATCTTCCTTTCATATCTCTGAAAATTATTGCCGCAGCGTGTCTGTACAAATTTCTTGAAATGGAAGTTTAAAGAATAAATTAAACTACGAATTTTTTTTATACATATGATTGGCATGGATGCTGTTCGATTGGTCTTTTTTAAAAACTCCATCCAACATCAAATATAGCCGCTGCCACCTAACGTTTGACATAGCACCTTATCGAATTGTATACAAAAAGGTATATCTGAAACTTGGCAAAAATCAGTCATTAAGACATCCTTAATAAATCCAAAGGCATTTATCTTCGAAGTACCTGAATACCTTTAATAAGGTTGTTTCGGTTTTCATGACCAGTCCTACTTTAAAATTTGATAGGGAGTAACCGATACGTTTAGAACAAAATAACAATTTTCTTATCCGGTTTGCTACCGGTGACAAAAGTTTATATCCTTATTCTTAAAATCATGTACCATTGCGCACTTCTAAGTGCCTCATCTTCAACAATGTACGTGAACTTTATAGATTCATGCACTTCCTGGATGATTAGAATATCTTAACAATACAATTTAAGGAAGCTAGTACTTGAGTATAGTAAGTCTCGCCTAACTAAGATGTCAATTATTTAATAATTAAAAGTAACTCTTAATTCTTGCGATTATGATGAAGACATCATAAGTAAAATACTGATTAAAACTACAATGACATTTTTTTAATCATCTGTTTAACCCCAGTGAGACAGAAACCAAACAACAAATTCACCAAAGTAGTTTTCTGTAGTTCACCAACATATAGCAAACTTTTACCCATCCGAACACCTGAAATGACTTTTATTTTTCTTGTGGAGAGATCTGATCATGGTGTTCATTTTTTGCTATAAAATGGCTTTTACCGGTAGTAGCTGCGGAAATGTAATACTTTCGGTTCATAGATCCGCAAATTATAAAAAAAAAATATCACAAGGGCCATAAGATTTGCGGTTCCGCAGATAACCTTTACTCCTGACATGCATTATTAATACAACAATACTTACCATAAATGGTGCCCAGCAGACAGTAAATACAATAACTATCATAATGAGAAATATGGCAATAGAAATGTCTTTCTTGGATCTTGCTCTTCTGTTTGATATACTTTCACGCCTGACATTACTCTTACTTTCGGAAATAAGCCTTGCAAGCACACGCAGGTTTAACACTATCGTTAAAAAAATACTCCCCAACCCTAAAGAGGAATAAAAAAATCCATATATTTTGTCTTCAGTTTTGTCGCCAAAGTAATTGAAAAAGCACCATGAAAATGGATAGTGTGCTACATTTTCACCAAAACCGAGTAAGGGCAGTATAGCAACTAATAACGAAAAAACCCATACTCCAATTATCAAACTGTTCGCAAAAGTTCGTGTACCAATCGCATAATATGTCAATGGAAGAAGAACAGCTAAAGATCTGTCCACAGCCATTGCACTAACCAAAAGCACGGTCGCTAATCCTGCAAATATCATCATGACTGCCATGTAATGACAAAGCAACACATTTTCTGACAAGTTAACTTTTCTTGCACAAAATGCAAAAACGACTGGTGACGTAGTTATAATCCCGAACAGGTCGGTCAAAGCTAAAGATATTACAAATCTAGAAAATATGCCCCATTTATGCTTTTTCTTAAAACGAACAAGAACTATAATTGCCAGAATGTTTCCAAGTACTCCAAGTGTGAATGATACCACGGATGAAATCGGAACCGTTGCTTTTTGATTTTTGCTTAATATGTTCACAGTAGGCGTGGTAATGTTATCTGTTTTTGTTGGTCCTTCAATAATATTCGAAAAGGAATGAAAGTCAGGAATTATTGCAGTAGTCATAGTATTATTTATTATTTCCATAACTCATTGCATGACGTCTATCCCACTTAAAACGGAAATACTGAAAGTCTTCATTCAATTCCTCTTTCCTTTTGTTAACTGGCAACTATTTTATACATGTGCATGTCATAAACTTCCTTCTATAGTTTCACGTGACTCTATATACATGTAATCAGTTTCACGGTAGGTATAGTGTCCGGCGGAGATCGTGTTATTTTCGAGTGAATCGGTCTACTTTTTTCGAGTGTAGATCAGGTTTTTCGAGTAAATTTACATGCGATCAATCGATTTACTGCTATTTCGCGAATATAATATTTTTATGCGTGGCTATTCGTCTCATTCTGAATGCTATACATGTTTTGAACACAAACGACGCAGAATTTTCTTTAAGTTCACTTATAATATAGCGTTTTATATTGTCCGTGGTTTTTCGAGAGCAACGTCCGGGTTTTTCTACAAACGGTCCGGGTTTTTTGAAGAAAATGTGAATAAGAAAGAAAACATTCTTTGGCTTAAAAACTGACTTTTTCTAGTTTGTAACTGTAATTTAGCGAAGGACAATATTATTTATAGAATAACTAATCGAAGAATTCAAATAGAGAAAAATATTCAACGAGTGACCGAACAACACATTAATTCACGAATGCGCGTAGCGCAAGAGTTAATTATCAGTGTTGTTTGGTCACGAGTTGAATATTTTTCGATATTTGAATTCTTTGATTAGTTATTCTTTTTATTACATTGGAAAATGACTTTTTTGTGAAATTAAATTAGAAAATGTAAGGAACTATATCGTTTTCTACGCATTCGCAATTTGTTTTGATCAGACGTTATCGACGTCTTGACAACGCCTATTGTTGTATGACGTCAGAGGAGTGAAATAACCACGTTTATTTCACATGTGAAATTATCGGTTTTTATTTCACTGGGAAATCAGTGTAATTCATTGCAACCAATGTAATAAATATTCTTAATAAGTCACAAAAACAGATTACTATGTTGATCAAATTTAACCATTTTCAATTTAATGATAACTTTCTGTTCTGAAAACATTTTACCATAACCCTGCATATTTACGATATTAAATATTATATTAAATCACTGGGCCCTTTTTAAAAACGGTCTTGAGAACAGAGTACAGGGACTCATAATCTTTTTAATTTCATTGCATGCTACCTTTGTTTTAACAGTCAATAATATTTTATGATTGATATATATTACAGTGACTGATGAAAAAACATAAGAGCAAGAAAACAAAGGAAAAGGAGTAAACAATCAGAAAATTCAATATAAAACCAAATATTCTACTAAAAGGGCCCCCTCCCCCCAATAAAAAGAAATACAATAACATTTGAATTGAATGGAATATCTAATAAAAAATAAAAACAACACTTTATGATTTTATGCTATATGACCAAAAGGACTTGCACATCCCACACAGCCAAACGGACGTCCAACTTTGGCAAGGGTCGGTCGGAAGAGGACTTAAGTGACCATATTTCTATTCCCTTGTCTTCCTTGGAGGTAAATGATTTAAAGAATACCGAAGTACTGACTACTGAGCTGATGATAAACTCAGGGACTTGTCCAATGTATTTAATAAACAACAAAATAAATAATCTGTAAGCTTCAATACGATCCTTTTGAAATAATAATAATAAAAAAAAGAATAAATGTGTATATAATATGCGTTCACCTCACAAATATACATTGTCAATTTTTATTCTTTTAATTTTTTGATGGAAATGAAGCTATGCTGGTGCATTATTACTGTGTGACCAAGCATAGTTTACGCTTGATCAGACTCCTCTTCACAGTAGGAGCAATTGATCATTATTCTTGATTTCCGTTTCTAGAACGACAAAACATTATTTCTAAGGAAGCAAGAATCTTGTAATCTGATTGGTTAATTACCCGGATGTAAATAACACCCCACCCTAGTTACCAGGGGATAAAAAAAATATGCCAAAATTTCCAAACAAAATATTTTTTTTGCCAAAATTATGAAAATTAAGATTTTGGAAAAAATTATATTAAAAAAAAAAACATTCTCCAATATTCCTCAAATAATAAAATTTTCAAATTTTCCACAAATAAAAAAATAAATAAAAAGATAATATTTGACAATGCACAGCAACGTCGGCGTTGACAAATGTGTAGTGGAAGTTCGTCATAAGATTTTTTTTTCAATTTTATTCCCGGGAATAAAAATAGTAAACGAACGCTAAATAAGAAATAAATTCGTTATCTTAGTGCAATGAGGGGTGTACGGAATTTTATATATATACCGGTGTTGAAAATGCATACGACCTTCGGCTGAGCCTCAGGGTGTATATATTTTCAACACCGGTGTAAAATTCTGTACACTCCTGATTACACCAAGATAGTTAATGTTACCATCAAGATACATAGTAAATGAAACATTTTACGGAGATATTTTCTGTAAAAAAACACATTTACCCGCTCTATACACATAACTATGTGTACGTACGTATCAGTCCAACATGTCTGAGATCACAAAAAGGTTGTTTACATCACGAATGATATACTGTATGAAATCCATATCGGTACACTAACATGAAGATTTCTGAATGCAAATGAACGATGACTTTTTATGAAATGTACGTGTTAATACAGCATTATCAAACTGGTTTTGCATTGTTTCGTGCTTTGAAAAGTACTTTATTTGAACCATTTCCTTGTTTTTTAAACGTAAATGCACTGACATATTACATTTTAAGCCATAGGAATTTTGTTTTTTCACACGATAAAACAAGGACACACTCGAAAAAACACGGACTGCTCTCGAAAAAACAAGGACATATACAAATGAATTTACTCTCCAAAATGTCCTTTTCAATGCAAAATCAAGAATTTTTGTAAAGTGTCTGTATATTTAAGTATATATAGATTCCATGTGCACATTTCCGTTGACATTTGCATTGGTATGTGTATAAAATGGCTTTAGTCTTATCTATATTTTGGAATAAAGCATTGTAAGGCTAAATTAAACGTTTTTAAAACAAAATAATGTAGGGTTGATAATATCTTTTTATCAAAAATACTAATTTACCTTCTATGATCTTGTATATAAGGTTCTAGCATATTTTTTCACGTTTTATCAGAAAGAAAGTCTGTTTGTTTACATTTTTGATCATATTCACTCAAAAAAAAGTGGTCACACTCGAAAAAACCCGATCAAATCACTCGAAAAACCACGATCCCAGCCGTACACTATACCTACCGTGTATATAGTTCCGTTTAATTTTTTCCAAGTATGCATACAATAGTGGTTGAGTTCACGCAATTATATTTCTCTTCAAAAAATTGTTTGCACCTTTACTGTCCGTTGACTTCTATATGACAACTGATAGGCTTTCGTTCTTTATGCCCACTCTTTTCCGTCCCGCCAAAATCATTTGACAGTATTTACGAAGTTGCATCAACAGAACATAACACATTTTTTTAATATTGATCCAACGTAAGTTTTCATGTTTAAAAAGAATGAACTACACTTCATCAAGAGATATTTTTTTTTTAAATCAATAAGTAGCCTTATTTTTGCAGGTGAATCAGTGATATGTCCAGAATCCCAAAGTGGTTTACACTTTACATTAAATAGATTACAAAAATATTGCAACAAAAAGATTTCCTGTGAATACTAATAAAACTAAAGTAATGTTTTTTTCATGGTAATAATAAATGACATTCAATATAAAAATATGAAGATGTGGCATGATTGTCAATGAGACAACCATCCACAGAGACTAAATGACGTAGAAGGTTGGCAAAAATTCATAACTTAAATGAGTCGGGTTAAAAAAGAATAACAAAGGGGATTGGACAAAAGTTAAGGGTGTCGAGTAACGATCACGATTTAATTAATCATGGTATTGAGTTGGGTTATCAGCTTTCTTAAAATATTGAGATTTATGGAAACTTCATTTCGGATTTACGCGGAATAAACTCTTTTCTAATGTTGAGGACTATTATGAAATGGTCAGAATAATCACCACAGACTAAATTCCTATATGGTAGCTTTACGAAGTAATGATAAACCTTGGTATGATCAATTGGGTCCTGCAATTCGAAGGAGGGGTCGGCTTCGAAAATAGGCAATGCATTCTAAAACTGAATAATAAATATAAACACACATAAAACGCAGAGAAACAAGGCGAAAAGTAGGATTTTTATTTTAATTTGGGAAGATATTATGCAAGATAATGCTTCCGATTATAAAACTTATTGGAATATTATATGAATAATTAAGATGTTAATCAGAGAAAAGTTACATGAGTGATAGAAAATAAAGGGTGTTTATATTAACATTGATTAATAATAAAATAAAATAATAAAATAATTTTCTTTGCAATATGTTAGCTGGAGTTCCTTAATATAGGCTCCGGACTCTTGCTTATCATAATCTATTTTAACAAAATTGAAAATTCATCAAATTGTGCTGTAAATACCAAAAAAGACAAACAACTAAAATAACACTGAAGGAGATAAAAAAAAAACAAATGTTGAAGTGCAATGTAGATAGGTAATGTATTATTTTTTCTCATTTGGATTTTTTTTAGAACTATGTAATCGGTTAAAATGTCACAATTTTTATTTTTCCCAGTGAGTTAATAGTCATTTTGAAGCATCTTTAAAAACCCGCACACACTTGCGATGATAGCTATGGAGCTATCAATTATAATTCAAACAAGCATGTTTTAAATTTTGCGATGTGTAGATGAGAAATAGAAGATCGCGTATAATCAATCTTTATTCTAAGGTTTTAAATGGCTAAAGATAAAGTCTCAATATAGTTCAGAACACTCATCTTTGTTCTGAATTTTGACACTCATCACTACACACAAATCTTAAAGACTGCTCTTTTATTGAGGGTACATCTAAATCTTCTTTTAATCACTTGAATTTGATGTTTTCTAATGAATTTTCTATACTTTTAAAATATTTCAATGTACACTGGGATAGGGATGCTGATGCTTGCAGGTCTTATTTGCAACATCTGTCGAATTGTTCAACAAAAAGTACTAGTAAACCAAATTTAACATACATTATTTTAAGCTTGAAGCTGTAAACGTATTTTTTTCTGCTCGTCATGGTTCTTGGGGTTTCC